AACAATCTAAGGTCTACATAGTTGGAGAAGGATGGGCTCATAAACAAATTGTGTTTTTTTTGACAAAACCAAAAACTTATTGTGTACTGTTATCACGCTCAAAAAACACCACGGGCTTGTATTTTCCATACGTGGGTCAGGCCACAGGAGGGAGTATGCATTGTGATGCGCAGGGGGAAGTTTCGGCTTGCATTACCAATTTTCCATTCGAAAAAAGATCCATTGCGTCTCTTGGTTTATCTTTGCTAAGGACAGGCAAAAAAAACAGGTTTGGGGCTAACCATAACATTAGTAACCATTTTTTAAACATAAATCTAAAAATTGCCAATCATAGGGTTCAAATTTTTTTCAATTTACTATTAGGAATGATTTAAGGGATAAGAAAGGAGGTGAAAAGTTGTAAGGCGGTTTGATTTTAAGAATAGTGGATTTGCAGCCTGGCTGCAAGGCAAAACACAGACGGATTTTTTTACGGAGGACCACAACCGCGTTTTTGTTTTTTTATTTTGTTAAAAAAAAACCTCATTTGGACTCATTTCCAAAAATTGGAGGGGATTTTTTTAACATTTATCTTACGCTTCAAAACCTTTCACTGGATTTAAAACCAAAGGGGAAAATGGTCTGAAATCCGAGTTGGGACTCACTGTCAGGGTCATTTATAGGTTATAGCTAAAGGTAAGGGGAAACCTTTAACAAACTTCATAACGGTTTTTGGGCGTTTTTGGTATGAAACAAAAACCCAAATTTGCTGGTCAATAAAAAAAAACTTTATTTTTTTGGCTGTAAGCCAAAAACAACCCAAAAAAAATCGTCCCACTTTGATATTTAATATGGTTGGTATATGTTCAATCTGATTGGGGGGAACTGGAAGGGTCCGTTGCTTCACCCAGGGCCTCCCCACGCTCGTCCACGGGGGTTGTTTCAACATTTTCACCAGTGGGCGGGCTTTACAGCACCAGTGAAGAGATGAAGGGAGTGAAAATAAAAAACCGGGCACTTCAGCAAGCCAACAAAGCCCTTTTCTAAAGATGTGGAAAATTTTGGGCCCACTATTTAAGGTAAAAAAAAATTGCGCACGTCGGGTGTGCCACATTATGTTTCCAAGATAACAACAACAAAACGAAAAAAAAAAAAAGTAACGGCAATAGTTACTTTTACCTGGTAAAAAATGTTACCTTTGTATTTAGTGGGGGAGTAAAAAACTTTTCGTTTAGTAACTCAGTTTTTTACGTTTTTAGGGCAGGAAAAAGTTAAAAAAACAAACTATTTACTATTATAACTAAATTTTACCTTTTGCAAAAGTTAAAAAACGTTTTTGCCCAAAAAACAAACTGCTGGGTTTAGTGAGGGTGTTACCGGGCCAGGCGACTTCGGGGGGGATCCGAGGTTGGGGTCAACTTTTTCTGTCTTCTTCCGGAGGGGTGGAAGAAACGTAGGGGGAAAGTTTAAGAGTCATTTTTCCAATTTTAGGTTCTTTTATGGGAGGGGGGGCCACTGAGCTTTTTTCTAGTGGGGGGATCTGTCTTTAATTGGCATTTCCATCGGGACAGATAAAGCTGGTGTGTTTCATCTGCGTTAAGCAAGTGGGGGGAAAAATTAATTCCATGCTTTTTTAAATTTAATGGATTTTCTAAAATGGGCAGCATGTAAGAGGTAAAAAAAAGAACTCGGTCCCGGGAGTTTTAGGAAAAAACCCGCGCACAACAGGGGGGGAATTTTACTCCAGGAATTAAAGGTGACGGAAGGTTTTCTTGGTTTTACGGGTTTGGGCCGACAAGTGATTAACCGATATTCTGTTAAAATAGGGTCTGTTAAACCCAGCCAAAGGGGGGCTGTTTCTCTAAAGGACCTATTATTCACCATTTTCTAGCCCTTGCCAGTATGGAAAATTTGCATTAGTGGTTTTCTTATGTGTGGTTCAAAATGCAAAGGCACTAAGGGGTCCAAGTTAGGGAACAAGCCACTGACCACTTGTTCCATTATTCCAGCTGCTAAGTTTAGTTAAGTTATTTGTGGACTTTGGACTTAGTTTTTGCCGTTTTTCAGTGCTATTGAATTGAAGCTTCTGGGATTTTCCTGATTGTGAAAAAGGGACTTTCCAAAACATATTTATTTATTCTGCAGGGTGGGGCAGGGAAAGGGCGTTGCTCAGCTATAGGTTTTTCCCAGGATTTTTAAGATCTTAAAGTGGAGGTTGAGGATCGGGGTTCAGTGTTTGTAAAAGGGACTTTTCTGGGTTCCCGGTTTGTTTGTTTTTCTTCCAGGAAGGGGGTTTTGGGGATTTCCCGCGGTTTTTAAAAAAGCTTGTGGGACATTAGCACATTTATTTATGGATGAGTTTTTATTTTATTATTAACGATAGGGCTCAATTTTATTCAAAAAGAAAGGGATGGCTTTGAAGCAGGGGACATGGTCTAACAACAGGCCAAAGTTGAGGGGCTTTTCGAGGGAAGGGATGGTGACCACAGAGATCCACCCTCTCTGCCTTTCGGCTCACAGGCTCTAAGGGTGGAGGTAAAAGTTCGGGACCCACTGGGCTTTCAGTGATGCTTGGGAATTTTTTAGGGGGCTTCGATTTGCGCTATTGGCCATTTTTGTGAGTTTAGCGGGGGACGTATTTTGTAAACAAAAAAAAATCTTACTTGTTATTTTTTATTCGGCTTTCTATTAAATGTTTGAAAGCGTATTTGAGGGTTGGTTGCGATGGCCCTGTCGAAGGGGGCAATTCTTATTAGTTTCGGAAGACCTGCTTTTTCACTCCCCTGTGGGAACTGGCCTCCACGGTGGGGAAGGTGGGGCGATATAGCCTCTCCCAAATTTTCTGGACGTTTGTTTTTAAAGTGGTGGAAGGGGGTTGGAAAAAAAAAAAAAAAAAAACCCCCACTGTTATACCCAGGTCGGGGGGACGATGGGATGCTAATCCTAATAAGGTTTTTTTTATGTTTTTAACCCTTTATTTGCCCGCGTGTGGCATTCTTGCGCCGGATGTTTTTTACAATAAATAATCAATTTACTCGGCGGCACGGTTAAAAAAAAAAAACGTTAGGCAACTTTTTTTTACTTTTTTTCTTTTTACCTTTCTGGAAGTGCGGATTCAGGGCTTTCCGGAAAAAAAAAAAACTAGTTTTGAATTGGGCTGTGCGGGATTGGCACGGGGGGAGGGATTGAAAAAAAACCTTAGTTTTGTTGAAAAAGTCGTGTTTCCAAAGCGTGGGGACCCGTGTGGTTAAAAAAACACGCTTGTTGGAGATTACAAAAAATACACACGGGGGGGACTTGCAAAAGATCGTCAGAAGGGGTGAGGAATTCCTCTCCAACTTCTTTTCTTTTTGCGTTTTCTTTTTTCTCCCCCAACCCCGGTTGAAAAAAAAAACTTACAGCTGTGCGGATTTGCTAATAAAAATGGCTGTATTGAAGAGGTTGGATTTATTGATTAAAAAGGGGGGGGGGCGATTTAATAATATTTACAGGTAAAATTGGAAACATATAATGAGTACAGGGGATGAATATAAAAATATATGTATTGTATATAAAAATTTTTAAATTGATTGTTTGTTTTTTTTTTTTTTTGGCTCAAGGGTTTTTGTTATGGTTTTTTACGTTTTTTATTTTACTAAAAGCTGGTTTTTTTTACTACGAAAAGCCCAAACCCCCAAGCTTAGAGGGGGGGACAAAAACAAACTGCTTCAGGGAAAGGGGCATCAGGAGTGTTAACATAGTTTTGCTATATTTTTTAGTGGAAATTTTGATAAGAAAATTATCATATTAAGGGATGATTCAATTTTTTCCCATTATACCCAAGGGGGGGACCATTAAAAATAAAAACATTTTATGCTGTTGTAAAAAAAAGTATTGTTTATTTAGCATTTCTATTTTGTGTTTTTTAAAATAACATTTTTTTTTTGGTTAAATTGATTTTTGTTTCCGTTTGATTTATATTTTCTTTGGGTTTTTTATTTTTTGATTCCTTCATTTTTATCTATAAATTTTCAATTATGGGAACAGCTTTACAATAGGACATATTCTTAAAAAAAAATAACCCCAGGTTGTTTACTGAAAAAAAAAAAAAAAAAACCCCCAAAAGTTTTTATTTTGCTTGCTCTGCATCCAAAGGAGGGGGGACTGGTTCTTTATTGAACCAAATTATAACACCAAAAAAGGAAAACCCAGGGGCGAAGGGGGGAAAAAAGGTTCCCAAAATGGGGGGACCCCATTTGTGGCAGTAGGAGGGTTTAAAGGAGTGCTGCATTTTAATGCAGTATTTTAAAGGTGGAAAATCCCATAGTGTTGTCCCCAACCGGTTTGGGTCAATGGATGAGGGGGGGATTTGCAGCAGCTGTTGAAAAAAACAGGTTCACCTGCAGGCAGTAGTCAAAACATAGGGGGCTGTAATTAAGTTTCTTTGGATAACCCTTGTGATTAGAATTTTATCATTTTAAGGGTTCTTTTTCATTATGGTTTTTTTTTTCTTGCGGGGAAATCCAGGGGAAAAAAAAAAGTTTCCTCCAAAAAATCGAAGATTCAAAAATCGTGATCAAAAAGTAAATGGTTCAAGGAACAGCCCAAGGTGCTTTTGGACGCTGGGATGGTTCAATACAATTGGAGAAAAAAACCATTTCCACAAGGGCCGTAGGTAGGGGACTGGTCCAAGGTGTGGTTAGAAATGTTGAGTAGGTTCATCCAAAACATTCTTTCTTTTCCCCCCCTTTTCCCCTTTCCTTCCTCCCCCCTCTCTACCTTCCCCCCCCCCCTCCCCGCTTGCCCCATCCACCCCCCCCCTCCCCCTCCCTCCTCTCCCTGCACTCCCCTCACCCCCTGCTCTCCCCCCCTCCTATGACCCTGCCCTGCCCCCCCCCTTCTCCCCCCCCCTCCCAATTCCTTCCTTCCCGCCCCTGACTTTTTCTCCCTTTTCCTTCCCCCTTTTTTCTCTTCCCCCCCCCTCCCCTTCCTGAGCCTCCCTCCCCTCTGTCTTCCCCCCTTTCCTTTCTGCTGATCATCCCTCACTCCCCTCCCCCCCCCCCCTCCCCCCCCCCCCTTTTTCCCACCCCCCCCTGCCCCCTCCCCCGTTTGCCCTCTTCCCCTCCCCCCCCCCCCTGCCCCCCACCTGTTTTCATTCCCCTACACCTCCTCCCCCCCACCCCTCCCCTCCCTTCCCCCCTTTCCCCCCCTCCACCCCCACCCCTCTCCTTACCCTCTCCCCTCCCCTCCCCACCCCCCCACCCCCCTCCCCCCCCTTCCCCCCACCTCCTCCCTTCCTTCCCCCTCCTGCCCCCTCCCTCCTTCCCTTCCTCACACCTATCCCCCCTTTCACCCCGACCTCCCTCCCCCCCCCCACCCCCCCACCCCCCTCTTCCCCTCCCCGTCCCCCCTGCTCCACCCATTCCCCCCCCCCATTCCCCCCCCCCCCCCCTCCCCCCCCCTCTCCTCCCCTGGAGTAAAACCAAAAAAACAACCATCTTATGTACGGCGCTGGAAAAATCTTTGTATTTAAGCGGGTCAGTTGCCTGGTCGTTTCCCACTTTGTTTTATAGAAAACAAAGTCTCCAGTTATAAAAAAAAAACTATGTTTTGTCCCCATTTCCAAAAATAAAACTTTTAAGGTTTTGTATAACTGAAAGGTTCAGGAGGGGAAATTTGTTAGGACTCGCTGTAAAGGGGGGCAGGGGCGGTCGGTATAAATAAAAACTATTAAATAGGGCCCACCCGGGGATTTTTGGTTTTCTTCCATAAACCCAGGGAAAACAAGGTGATTGAAAGTGGTTTATAGTTTTTCAAAAAAAAAAGGAGTGAAAAAAAAAGCATTGTTAGGTTTTGGGGGGAACTAAAGAACTAAGTTGGTTGTTGTGATTATTTAATGCAACCCCACACCGCCGCGACCTTGTAGTGTCCTCCCAAAACACTTTTTTGGGTAGTTAAAACCATTTTGCGTTTTCGGAGGGAGGGAAAGTGCACTCATTCAATTCAACAAACGTAGTTCGTTCCTGTTGGAGCCAATGGTCTCCGGAGAGCGCAAACAAATAAATCCCAGCCCTTTGTCTTTATACTAAGTTTGTTTTTATGAGAAGCGGAAATTTAGCCGAGGGGGATTTGGATTTTCTGACGTTCATTAAAAACTCAATTTTAAAACACACCAACCCTTTAACTTGGTTAGAAAACTATTATTTTTCTGTCTTGGTCCCCCCCCCCCCCCCCCCCCCCCCCCCCCCCCCGCACCAATTTTTTATGGGAATTTACTGTGTCTGGGGACCCCCCCCAAACCACGGTATCAGTATCCTCTCATTTTAGGTTGGCGTTAGGGTGGGGGGGGGGACTTTTCCAAAGCGGCGGAACGCACACAGTTTCAAATCTGGGGACTAGTTTTCTGAGGCTTAGTAAAAAAATAAAAAAAAAACACTGAAGCACACACAGTTAACCCACACAACCATGGGCACCCCACACAGTTTTCATATCTGGGGGGACTAGGCTCTGGGCCTTTGAGTAACTGATAAAAAAAAAAAAACCAGGTGGGGGGGCTCAAGGGGGTTGTGGCAGCGCAGCTTCTGAAACCCCGGGCCTCAGTTCTTGCCACCGTTTTCATTTTTTTGAAAGGGGCCGGGGGCAGAAAAAAACCAGGTTTAGTAGCCAGGGCCAAAATTTCTTAAAGCAAAAAAACGGGTGGTTAACCCCCGCAACAGTGAAGTTGGGGATTTCATCTCCGAAGCGGGATGATGGAAGACGGGGCTTTCCCCAAAAAACGGCACCTCCAAATTGGTCAAAAACCCATTGGAAATACAAACCACACTTCTGCGGGGGCAACCAAGGGGCCAGGCGGGTGGGAACCAGCCAGCGGTTGATAGAAAAGGCGGTGTGTCCTGTGGGGGAAATGGCTTCTTTTGCACTGCTAGTTGCAGGTTAGGGGGGGACCCATAGGGGAGAAAGATGGTACCGTGTCGGCCATTTGAAAGGCCAGCTTTTTGCCAAAACCCCCCACGGGCGGGCGGAACTTGGCTGGCTTAAAAAACACCTCGGTGGGGGATGTTTTCGCCCGAAACGGGGTTCTTTAACCAAACCCGGCGGGTTGAAATAAAAACAAAATTCGGGACGGAAAAGGGGGGGAAAACACGCTGCTTGTTGGGGTCATTTCCTTGGAGCCTCCTGGGAATTTTCCCTTCCAATTTTCCCCCACCAAGCCTGGACCACCCAGGAAGGCAAACCGACAACAGTGGCTCTGGGAATCTTAAACACCTCTAAAACCAAAATAGAGGGAAAGCCAATTTTTTAACCCAGCGCATTTTCCAGCGACCTCCATTCGGGCTCTCTTCAGCGGACTCTTCAGTGGGGCTTTCTTCCCCCAGGCGATTGTAAATTTGGGCTAAAAATGGGACGGAGGCCCCCAAATGGGGGGGGAAAAACTAACAACAAAAAAAAAACACGTCGCCCTCTCCGAAAAACAGTCCACACAAAAAAGTCTCACGTTTCCTGTCTTGTTACCCCAGATGCGGGAGGGAACGGGGGGCAGGGGGATGGTAGGCTCGCCCCTGAGGTTACGGGAAACCTGGTGTAAGCTTAATGAGCGCTGCTTCGGGAGACGCACAGCTCTAACTTCCATGACCCTGAGATTTTCCAGGTTACGGGAATTACACTTAACCCATTAACACATTATCCCCCACTACCCCTTTCAGAGTCAGGATCGGAGGGGGTTTTTAGGGAACTCGGCCATATGGGCCAAACACGGAGCAGGGTTAAAAAACGGGGATGAGGGGGGGAAACCATGGGGGACAAAAGCAAAGCCCGACCATGAGGAGTAAAGGCGAGATTAGCGGGCTAGGGGGCTAGGCTAGTGCTAAAGGGCTAGTTTTCCGGGATCGGGGCCCGCCCAACAATATCCAGGGGGGGGGGGACTCCGTGGGGGGGGGGGGGGGGGAAAACCAAGGGGTGGGGGGAACCCAAAAAAAAAAATAACAAACCGCTACCTTACCAACCCTCTAGGCTTTCCGTACAAAGCTGGGGACTCGGGAGGTTGTCTTACCCACAGTTTAGTTGGTGTTTACAAAATTTTACGGTTGGGATTGTTTCATGTTTGTTTGTGCAAAAAACAAGAAGAGCAGGGGAAGTGGGATTAGTTAAGTCAAAGGAAATACGGGGCTCCAACGGGGCTTAACAGGGAAAGGGGTCCCACTTCTGGTTTTTTGTGGTAAAAAAAAAAGGATTTTTTTTCGGGGCTCGGCTTTAAATCTTATCTCGGAGAAAAAAAACAGAATCTCGAACTGGCCTGGTGTGTTCCTTTTGTCTTTTTTTTCAAAATTTGGTTTCTCTCTGGGAGGCTTTTTCAAAAACAGACACCCTGAGGGGGACTTCAAAAAGAAGGCAGGGGGTGGGCCATTTATTACGGGTTAGGACTTTGATGTTACACACAGGTGGCATTCATATTTAAAATCAATCATCAGTTTTCATTTTTTAGGAACAAACATTGGATTCATTCTAAGGTATCTTCACTGAAAAAAAAAATTCTGGAGTGAAGGTTTGCTTGCACTGAAATGTTAAACAAAGGGGTGAAATTAATATTGGCACGGCCCATCTTTTTCAGTTTTTTATTTGTTAAAAAAGTTTAAAATTAATCAAAAATCAAAAATTTCCTTTCCCCCCCACCTTCCGGGGGGCTTTTTGTTGTCCCCCCCACTTGTTGTTTGAGTTCATTTGTTTATTTGGCAAAAAAATGGTTTTGGGTAAAAAGGGTTTCAAAGGAGGGGGCCGAATAAACTTTCGGCAAAGGCACTGTAAACTGTTTTCAATTTTGTGCAGTGGGTTTTTTTCATGAAAACAACCAAAAAAAAATAACAAAAAAAAACCCAACATTTTACTACCCAGTTTAAGTAGCGAGAATTTTATTTATTTATTTATTTCTGTATATATATTGGTTTGGGGGGCACCCAACGGTTCCGCCATAGCACTTCAGCGCCAGTTCCATTTGAAAAATTTTTAGTTTTTTTTTCTATCAAGGTCCCAAACTAAAAAAACTCCAAAATTTTTAAGGGGGAGGTTTCAAAAACCCCAATTATTCCGCCAGGAAAAAAACAAACAAACTTTGTTCATTTTTTAACAAACCATGGAAAATTCCATAATTTTTTCCACTCTTTAAAACCTACTCGTTTACAGTTTTTTAAAAAAAAAAAAGGAATATAGATATGAACCATACATTACCAATCACGGTTTGAAGACTTTTAAGGATGGTTGGGTTGTGGGGTATTTTGGAGGTGTTAGCTGTTAAAAAACAAAAATAAAGCTGTAAAAAATAACCCATTTCTTGGTTCCAACAACCCACTCCAGGGGGGGAACTTTTTTCCAGTTTGTTTCAACCCACTTTTTTGGTGGGATCTTTTTCAATTTCAACAGTAGTTCCCCACTTTTACGTTTCTAAAAAAACTTTTCTCTGCAATTTTGCGGTGTCCGTTGAATAAAATACATTTCCTAGTTCCCTAGCGAATTTTATGTTTTTTTTTAAAACGTCGTTATTAACCACAAAACCGTTTTTTTGGGGTTTTTACAAATTGGGGGCAATAATCCATAAACCATAAAAATCCCCCATAAATGACCTGCGGTTGTTGGGTCACTTCCAATCGGGAAAATTTTTTCCGCGATATTGGTCCTTTTTTGAATTGGGGATATTTTATTGTTTTTTTTAGGAAAACTAAAACCGAAAAGGGGTGTGGGAAAAACCATTTTTTGTCAAAAATGAGTTTTATTTAAACCACTAAAAAAAAAAAAAAGGGGGGGGGTCCCAACAAAATTTTGTCCAAAAAAAATAAGGGATTAGGTTCCCTTTTATAGTCACTGTTTGCAACAGTGTCTGCTTCGTTCCACAGATAACCTTCCATTTTTTTCTCAGGGCTTGTTTTCTGTCTGCGGGGGGGGGGGGGACTGGTTGATTTTCCCAAAATTATTCATCTTCAAACCTTACTTCCCTTTGGATTTTATTCCGGAGATATCGAAAAAAAAAAACAAATAAAAATAAACAAACCACGCTAGAAAAACAAAAACTTTTTTTTTGCTGATTGGAAAAGTAGGATTGGACCCAATTTCCTTTCCGTAATTTCAGGGTTTTTCGGGGGATTTCATTATTGTTACATTTACATGTTTTTCTTGGGGGTCTTGAAAAAAATCTGTTTGGGAGGAAAAAAAAAATCATCCCAAAATACACGGGCTTTAGGGGTGGCAAATTGGTGGGGGGAAAAAATCAAGTGGCTAAGACAAAAACAAAATAAAAAAACTTATGTTGGAGTGACTTTTTTCTTTTGGCGGATGGGATGGGAAATTATTTTTATTAATATCTGTGATTTTGTTATTGGTTGGATAGGGCTTTGAATTAACCCTAGGGGGGACTTCTGCTTAAACCCCCCTTCTT